AGCCGCCAGGAAAGCCTGACGTTTTCTACAGGTCACATCAATTTCTGTGCATCACTGCAGGGCCACCCAAGGGTTAAGGGAACAGCCACGCCATGTAACATTCTAGAAAGTGATGCTAAGACCTGGTGGTAGGTTTGGAGGGAGAGGGGTGGGCTAGGAGGCAGTTGTGAGCCCTTGTCCTAGATAGAAAGAACTGTCTCAGAAGACAGCAAGCTCCCCAATGCAAGAAGTAGACAAGACAGGCTGGCTCGGCTCTAAAACATTTTGCTCTTCATCTGGAATGTCTGCGAATAGACAAGCCAGAAATGGGAGGACACAACAATGAGTGTGTATGTGGTAAGTCGCTTCAGTCATGCCCAACTCTTTGTGACCCCATGGACTGTAGCCCGCCAGGCTCCTCTGTCCATGGGATTCTCCAGGCAAGAGTACTGGAGTGGGTTGCCATGCCCTCCTCCAGGACACAGCAGTGGGGCTGTCAATTTCTGATCATTTGCTGGTTACTGCATCTGGAACATTATTTAATAGCCATATAAACTCCTCAGAGTGAGGAGGCCAATGTTCATGAGGCCAATGTTCAAGTGCTAAATAAACAATTGTGAAGAATGAATGAAGGAAAGAATGGGTGATTCTAATCAAAGGATATAGCTTTACTGTCTCTCAGCTGATAGGAAGCCCTCTTCCCCTTCCTCCTTCTTTGAACCTGCCCTCCCTTCTTCCTTCCTCTTACTGCATCTGAGCCAGTTCTTAGCATCTCTCCTTTGGTCCTTGTCCCAGCCCTCTCCCTAGGGCCCCAGGGCCCAGGCTTTTCTCCTGTCCAAGCAGCTAGATTCATTTTGAGATAATGCAAGCCCATTAGCTCACTCCCCACTGCCTATACTTCCCAGCCTGCCCTTCTAGGGCCATCTCAGCCTGTCCACTTCTTTGATTTCCTCCCCTACAAGCCCTGCCCCTCACTGCACATACCCCCAAGTGCCTCCCAAATAAATCATGGTCACATTGATTAAGCACTTACTGGATGTTTTTGGGGTTTTCCTGGTAACTCAACTGGTAAAGAATCTGCCTGCAATGCAGAAGACCCCTATTCGATTCCTGGGTCGGGAAGATTGGCTGGAGAAGGCATAAGCTACCCACTCCAGTATTCTTCAGCTTTCCTGGTAGTTCAGACGGTCAAGAATCTGCCTGCAATGCGGGAGACCTGGGTTCGATCCCTGGGTCAGAGAGATCCCCTGGAGGAGGGTAAGGCAAACCACTCCAGTATTCTTGCCTAGAGGATTCCATGGACACAGGAGCCTGGTGGGCTACAGTCCATGGGGTCACACAGAGTCAGACACGACTGAGCGACTGAGCCACAGCAGGTGCACTTTTACATGGATTATCTTGTTTACGCCTCACGGCAAGCCATGAGACCTATTAGGCCAATGAGACTATTGCCCCACGTTATAGATGAGGAAAACAAGACCTTTAGGGGCTTACCCCAAGGTCACCCACCTGCAGCTGCCAGAGTTGGGACTCAAAACCACAAGTCTGATCCTGGAGCCAGAGTGTTTAAGTGTCTCAGGGGGCGCCATGCGCCCCTGCCTGCACTCATGCTGGGCCCGCCTGAAGGGCTCTCCCTGCTCTCGTCAACCTGCCAAAACCCCGCTTGTCCTTCAAGGTCTCACTCGTAGGTCACCTCCTCCAAGAAGCTTTTTCCAGCCGCCCCAGAAAGCACCGGTTTTTCACTCTTTGATTTTACAGTTGAGAATTTTGTCTAGTGATAATCTGGGGACCACCAGGCTAGGAGCCCCCAGCAGGCAGAGATTATTCTGTGTGTCCTTCTAGAGTCTCGCACAATGCCTGGCACAGACTGGGTGCTCTCTAAATGTCACTGCCTGGACGGCGGTGGTGCCGGATCTCCTCCCCAACATGCAGCTGCGGAGGATTGCTGGGTGTCTCCAGGGCCCCCACATGGGACGGACTTCAGTGGCAGTGGCAGTTGGAGGCATTTTCACTGCCCACCACTTGTCCTTGGGGCAGCAGTGTCCTCAGGGGATCAAGCTGGTCGGGGAGTTCCATCCTTACACCACCCCTACAGGTCTTTGGGAATCAGCTGTCCCCACCCAGGGGGGTTTCCTGTCTTGCAGTGCCGGGAACTGAACCATGATGGGAAGTGACCCTGGCAGGGTTTCTGAAGGCTACAGGAGGAAGTGTGGCCAGAGTCCCCATGCTCAGAACCTGGGTCACCCCAGCCCTCAGAAACCAAAGGGTTACATGGCTTTAGTAAGAGGATAGTTCCGGGGTGGCTAGGGACTTCCTCAGGGTATGAGGGAAGTTGCTCCATCCTCAGAGCTGTGGAGTAAGAGCTGTCTCAGTGCCTCTCAGCAGCCCTGACTCTGTGCCAGGCTAGGACTGTGGCCAATTTCCAAGCCTGATCCTCTTGCAAAGCCCTCCGGCCTTTAAGAGGGACCCCTGTCTCTTTGGTCTCTGCCCCTTGTCAGTGGACTTCTCCCTCACGGCTGCCTCACTCAGGAGCTTATCAGGACACCCCATGGCCTCAGGTCCAAATACCTCAGCCTCTGATCAATGTATCCCGAAAGTAGGTAGACAGGATAGCAGAGCCAGTAGGGGCCTGAGCTCTGGGGTGAGCCAGATATGGGTCCAAATCCCAGTTCACTGTGGATCTTGGGGTCATTCACTTCACTGCTTTGAGCTCATCCATAAAATGAAGACAAATAAATTTGAAAACATCAAAATTAAAAATTTGTTCAATGGGAAATTTGTTCAGAGGAAGGCACCACAGACCAGTGGTTCTCAGTGTGGTCCCTGAAACATTAGTATCATCTGCGTACTTGTTAAAAATATAAGTTCTTGGACTTCCCTGGTGGTACAGCGGATAAGAATCCACCTGCCAATGCAGGAGACATGGGTTTGACTCCTGGCCTGAGAAGATTCCACATTCCACAGAACAACTAAGCCCTTGCGCCTTGACTACCGAGCCCAAGCTCTGGAGCCCATGAGCCACAACTCTGAGCCTGTGGACTGCAACTACTGAAGCTTGAGAGGCCTGGAGCTGGTGTTCCACAACACGAGAAGGCACTGCGATGAGAAGTCTGTGCACTGCAACGAAGAGCAGCCCCCATTTGCTGCAACTAGAGTAAGCCCACACCCACCAGCAAAGACCCAATGCAGCCAAAAATAAATAAACTAATTAATTAAAAACACACACACAGAAAACACAAGTTCTTGGGGCTTCACCCAACATCACCCAAGATCACCCAAGTTCTTGGGTGATCCAGTGGTTAAGACTTTGCCTTCCAACCAACACACAGGGTGTGAGCTCAATCCCTGGTTGAAGAGCTAAGATCCCACAGGCCTCATGGCCTAAAAACCCAAAACATAAAACAGAAGCAATATTGTAAAAAATTCAATAAAGATTTAAAAAAAACATTAAATAAGTAAATGCTAAAAACAAACAAACACAAGTTCTTGGGCCCCATCTCTATTCTATTGAGTCAAAACTCTGGGGTGGGGATCAGCAATCTGTTTTAACAAGCCTTCCAGGAGATTCTGAGGCATGCTAAAGTTTGGGAACCACTGCCATAAATAAACTTAATAGATGGACGATGGACAATGTACTAGGAGAAGATGTTTATAACAACAATATCCAACAAGGGATTAAAATCTAAAAGGTATAAGCTACTCCTGCAAATCAACAAGAAAAAGACAGGAAACACAAAAGATAATGGGAAAAAGATATGAATAGACAATACTGAAGGGGAAGCCTAAATGCCCAACAAGTATAGGAGGAGGTTCTGAATCTCAGGATTAAGAGAGAAATGCAACTTAAAGCAACATGATGTCACCTTACACCCAAATAGGCAAAAGGTTACAAAGTCAGATGATGGAAAAGTTGCTGAAAACGTGGGGAGACAGTATCCTTCACACACTACTGGTGCAGCTATTCTAGTGACTTTTAGCAAAAATGAAAACATATATACCCTATGATCTACTCTTGGGTATAAAGCCCAAAGAAATTTTCACACAGCCCCACAAGGGTCATGCACAAAGATGTTCATCACAGTGTGGTTTATGGTAAGAGGGAATTGGAAGCAACCTGAGTGTCCATCAGTGGATGCTCAGCTTGGAATATTTGCAGTGGTTGGATGTACTAAGTTAGGTTTTTACGCAGGAAGGAAACAACAGAATGAGTTTCTTACACAATACCATTTATGTAATGTAAACACACACACAAGACATTATGCATTTTATGTCCAGGGACATATATCAACACATAGAGATGGGTACCTATGGTGGGGAGGAGAAGGGTTGTGGAGATGTGGAGATGAAGTTTGGGGAATATAAAACAAAGTAAGACATCAGTTCAGTTTAATCAGTCGTGTCTGACTCTTTGCGATCTCATAGACTGCAGCACGCTAGGCTTCCCTGTCTATCAGCAAATCTCAGAGCTTGCTCAAACTCATGTCCATCGAGTCGGTGATTAGAAGGGCCTTTTGTGGATCAGTTATGATGGTATAGTCATTTGCCATGAACTGAGTATGAAGCAGGGAACTTGCTGAATCCAAGCCCTAGTAATAATAATGATATTACTTTAACAATGGCAATAATAGTATCTACCTCATGGTAAGTACCTTGTGTCTGGCCATGTAAGGTTCTACAGATACATTTTAGCTCTTCCAGGCAATTCTCTTGCCTCTTCTGAGGGCTTCTTTCAGCCTCTGAGCCTTTACTGAGGCTGTGCAAGTCTTGTCTTTATGCTGACTTTTCTCCCCCTCCAATTCTGTCTTCAGAATTCTTTGACTATCTGAGATACGATGGCTAGTCTGAAGAATCTTTTCATTTGAACTTTGAGCATGGAGTCATGCTGTAATAGAGCTGTGAGGGGCAAGTCCTATTTTCTCCTCCCAAACTCAGTTCCCTGAGGGTCTTCCTACATCTCACCCTCACCTCAGTTCATGTCCCGTTGCACACAGGTAAAGACAGGTAAACTGAGTCAGAAAGTGTTCGATGTGGAAGGGAACAGCATTTATTGAACACATATCATGTGTTAGACCTAGCACTAAGGTCTTGACCGCCAGTAATCCCTATGACCCCCTTGTGAGGTGGGTGGGGCCGACTTCCTGGTCAGAAGAGAAAACGGGAGAGGCAGAGAGGCTCGGACACCTATCAGATGGGGAGCCTAGCCTGTCCCACTCCGATTGCAACATCTGAACAAGCAACTTGTTCAGAGCCTTAGGATCGGGGCTGGGACCCAGATCATGCACCTCTGGGTCGACTCTTGGTAGAAAGAAACTTCTATTAGATCTAAAGATCTAAGTCCATCTGCAAAGGGGAGACCCTGCCTCTTAGAGCTTCAGAAAGACCCTCTGCATGATTTAGTATGGCCAGCGTGAGGTAATATCTAAGGAGAATCAGGAGACTCCCTCCAGTTTCTTCCCTCGAACCTCAGTTTCTCAAACTGTAAAATAGAAAAAGAGGTCTTCAGGCTCGGGGAATTCTTTTCTCAACCGGCCAGCAGGTGGAGCACACTCTCCACCCCTCACTTGGCCTCCAGAAAGTTGCGGAGTCTCGAGTGTCCAGAGGCGAACCCTCGAGAGAAGTTCGCCGCCCACCTCGGCCGGCAGAGGGAGCGGCTGAGCCCCGGTTAGAGTCCCGTCCCCTGCAGACATTCTCGGTGCTGCAGGGACCAGAACTGGGGGGCCTGGTAGGGACAGACCCCGGCTCCCCCACCCCCCACCCCCGGCCCCGGAGCGCAGAGCCCCAGGTTGGGTTCTGGGGAGGGGATCCCGGGGATGGAGTAGCACAGACATGGGCGCGTGAGACTCAGAGGCGGGGTGCGTGGCCACCCCCTTGCCCGCCCTCAGCATTGACAGCGGCATAGGCTACAGGTAGTTGTCCTCGGCCGCTTCGCCCCCGCCCGGGGAGTCCCGGGCCTCTTCGTCCGTGCTTTCATCATCGTCGGGGGCCAGCGCCTCGATGTCGTGCGTTATGTCTGTCAGCAGCCGGTGGAAGGCCTGCGCCTCCGGCCGCTGAGCGCCGTCGTAGCTGCGCACCGCAGACGCCGACGTGGAGCTCATGCTGCGCTTGATGCGGCCGAAGCTGTCGGTGAGGATGCCGCCCTCGCGGATGCCCACGCCTTCCAGGAAGCCTTCGAAGTAGCCGATGTCCTGGTCCGGGATGAAGGGCCTCATCCCTGGGGGTCGAGGACCAGGGTGATTCCTCGGGGTCGGCCCTTCCCCTCCCACCGAGAGATCAGATGCCCGCCCTGCCACTCGCTGGCTGTGTGGCTTTACACAACTCCTTGACTCTCTGAGCTGGAGAATAATGGTACAGTGCCCCGCACACATTTAAATGCTCACTGCATGTTAGCTTATTCTTCTTATCATTATTATTTCGATGGTTATATTCCTATCTGTTATGTGCTGTGCTGCGCTTAGTCGCTCAGTTGTGTCCCACTCTTCGCGACCCCATGGACTCAGTAGGTAGCCTCAATAAGTATTCTGAGCCTTACTGTCCTCACCTGTAAAACGGAGGTAATTGCACCTGTTCTCCCAGGCTGTGAGGATTAAATAAGGTTCTTAGCACACACTGAGCAGCCCATTTGACTTCTGTTTTACTTCTGTCACTACTTACTAGCTTTATGACTTATGTACTTTGCTTTTCTAAGCCTCAGTTTTCTCATCTGCAAAATGGAGGCAAGTCATAGTTTCAACTCTCAGAAATGAGGGCCTTCAACTAGATGATCCTTTGGCACATGGTTAACTGTCAAATACATGCTAGCTTATTAAGATGATCATTCCTGGGACTTCCCTGGTGGTCCAGTGATTAAGGCTTGGTCTTCCAATCGAGGGGGTGCAAATTCAATTCCTGGTCTGGAAGCTAATATCACACATGCCTCAGGGCCAACAAAACCAAAACATAAAAAAGAAGCAATATTGTAACAAATTGAATAAAAACTAAAAAAAAAAAAAAAAAAGGATTATCATTCCTCTTTCTGTTATCATTAGCCCTCTTTACTAGCTCCATGACCCTGGACGAGTTCCTTAGCCTCTCTGAACTTTAGATGCCTCATGGGTTAAAATGGGAAGGGTCATCCTCTCTCCCAGCTGTGCTGTGAAGGTGAAATGGTTACACCTGTGCTCTCTTTCCCAGCTCTGTGACTGCAGACAAGTCCCTTTCTCTCTCTGCACTTTGGTTTCCTTGTTTGTCTCATGGATCTCATGATGTTGGCTTTACGGGAGGCCGAAGGGTAAAGAGTGAACACTCCCAACCTGGGCAGGGGGCTCACCGAGCAGGAGGAACTTGCGCCGGTCTCCGTAGAGCTTCAGTAGGCCTGTGCAGTAGTCCTGGATGGGCAGCCCCAGCCGGTACTCCCGAAGCAGCAGCGCAAACTGCTGGATCTCTGGGGGCCCCAGCTTAGTCCGCAACTGTGGGTGCACCATTTGAAATTACTCCCTTGCCTAAAAGACCCAGAGCTGGGTGTATCCAGCCCAGCCCTCCTCTGAAAAGCTGGCCTCCTGGGGGACATCCAGACCCCTTGGGCTGCATCTAAGAGTGGGATGCGGACTCAAGCTGCCTAATTTCAAATTCTGGCTCCTTTACTGGCCAGCTCTGTGATCATGAGCAGATGATAACCTCCTTAACCCTTGCTTTCCTCATCCGCAAAGTGAGAATAATGACAGCACTTCTCTCTTGGGTTGTTGAAAGATGAAAGGAGATCATACATTATAGGTGCTCCGAACAGTGCCTGGTATAAAGACAGCACTCGCTGCTAGCTGACATTCGTTAAGGTCCCTCATGGCTGACTCCATTTACTCTCTGAACATCATACCCTGCCTTAACCTCTGAGGTCTTACACTTCAGTTATGCCCAGGATTGTTCATGGTTCCTGAAATACCTGGCCACCCCCCTGCCCCAGCTCACCGTGACCATGTAATCCTGTAACTGCTCGAGGCCCAGGCCGCTGTGGTCGCTGCTGCTGCAGTGGGAGCCATGGAAAGAAGGTGTGGACGTGCCGCTGTAACAGGCTTCAAATGTGTCCTGGGAGCTGTTGCTGCAGGAACAGAGGGAAGGGGCCTCACTCCCTCCCTCTCTCCAGCTCCTCTCCACGCGGTAGGCTGAAGGTGGGAGGGGACAGCCACCCATGCCCTGGGACTGAGCCCTCCTCCTGGACCCCATTTTGGCCCTCGAGGTCTCCTGTGATCTGGCCCTGCACCACCTCTCAAGCCTTGTCTCACCCTTGCTGCTTAGGCTCAGGCCACCTTATCTTCATGCTTTTCTAATACTCCAAGTACCTCCTCACCTCTGGGCCTTTGCACATGCTATTACCTCGGTCTGGAATGCCTCTCTTTCCCTGTTGTTTGCTCAGCTAACTCTTCCTCATCATTGGATTTTAAAAGTCACCTCCCTGGGAGAGTTCTCCCTGATCCCTCCCAACTGGGTTAGACAATCTGTCCAATATGATCACAAAATCTGTAAGTCTACCCACAACACAGAGGCCTTTCCAGTGCCCCCACCAAATGTGCTTTCTAGTCACTCTGTCCCTCACATCATCTGTCACAGCCTCAGTGGCCTCCTGGCTGCTCCTCAGCCTCGCCAAGCAGATCCTGCCTCAGCATCCTTGCACCTGCTGTTTCCTCTACCTGGAGCGCTCTTCCCCCTTTTATCCATCAGGTCTCAGTTCAAGTGTCATCGCCTTGGAGAGGCCCTCCTGACTCCCCAGGTGAGGCAGGATTTTTGTAACCACTGAGATTCTCGGTAGTGTTTCTTAATGTTGATGCTTATTGCTACTAAATAATGATTTCGTTGTCTCTTTGCCACACTTGCAAAGCATGCAGGAGCAGGGACCTTGATTTTCTGTTTGCTGAGTACCTACTATGTGCCGAGCACAGGTCTCACTCTTGCCTTGCTCCCCCTGTATCCCTAGCACATAGCACAGCACACAGGGATGCTGAGGCAGGATCCGCGTGGTGAGTCTGAGGAGCATCCAGGAGGCCACTGTGGCTGCGACAGAGGGTGTGAGGGACAGAGTGGTTAGACAGGACAGTTGGTGGGGGCATCAGAAAAGCCTCTGTGTCATGGGTAGGTACAGGGTAGGTACTCAATAAATATTGTTTAAATAAAAGTCAGCCTTGGGCTCTGCCTCCTGGTCTCTACGTTGTTCCAGAACCATCATCAATGATTAACTCCATAGAAGTAGTGTAAGCTTAGTGTGGACTCTAAGCCTACTTGGGTTCAAACTCCAGGCCAACAACTTACTAGCTTCTTGATCTTGTATCAAGTTACTTAACTTCTCTATTTTTCAATTTCTCTAGTTATAAAATGGGATGGTAAAAATTGGTGTCGTGAGAAATAGAGGCGTTAGAGTTATGGACTAAGCAATAAATAAACAGTAGTTACTATAATGTTGCTATGTTGATTTTTAAAATGAATTGCATTATAAAATAGTCCTTGGCACATAGCAGGTTCAAAAGTTACTCATTATCATGATTGTTGTCTCTCTAGCATAGAGCAGATTGTTTAAGGACTGGCCTAAGGGTACACAGTATTAGGCAAATATGTTGCTGTGATGGTTGGAGCTATAACCATTATTTCAGCCCATGGGGTGATTTGGGAGATGGAAGCAAGTGTTAGGGAAGCTGGAAAGATACGTCTGGGCTCTTGATGACCACAAGGCCGTGAACTCCTGGTCTACTTTATGTAAGAGAGATGGGGAGGGGGAGGAAACTTGTTTAAGCGGCTCTTTTTTAGTCTTCTATTCCATGAAGCCAAAATGATTTTTTGGCATTAGTTGTGATTTTGGCCTCTGAAGGCCAGTGAGTGTCTGGATGACTGGGGAAGAGTGGCAGGGTCCTGTGGACCTAGTTCTGGGTTCTGGCTGCCCTGTCTCTCTCTCAGGGGTTCGGATTCTATCAGCTCACCAGAGCCTCAGGCTCAGAGCCCAGTGTCTCAGCACAAATCAAAGCGGAGTCACTTTCCCCCAGCCTCTCTTGCCCACAGGGCCCCAAGTGTGCCCAGAGGAGCAGCCCTGCTCGTTCAGGGACAGAAGGGACCAGAGTGGGGCCCCTGGCCAGGGCAGTACCCACAAGGAGCTGCAGCAGCTGAAGTCGGCGTCGTAGGCATAGGTCCCGTCAGTGCGGCAGCTCTCACCTGGGGGCAGCAGACAGAGGGTGGTCAGAGGAGGCAAAGCAGGGACCAATATCCCCGGCTCCCCGAGGCCCCAAGCTCGGCCCCACCCTGGAGTGAAGATGGCAGCTGGAGCGAGGATGGCCTTGTAAGGAATTGTACAGGAGTTAGCTTACACACAGAGTGAAACGGGCAGCCACTGGAAGATTCTGACCAGGATTCCTGCCCCCACCACCAACCCAGAGACAACCTTGGCCAGCCCACCTCTTCCTCCTGGCCCTCACCTTCCCCAAGGTTGGGACAACACCACCGTCCTGCCTACTCATGGGGACCTTGGGAAGAGCAAGCCAGGGAACAGTTGCAGTAGGGGCTGTAAGCCATATATGTTTGAGGGAAAGAGAGAGAAAAAAGACCTTTGAGGGGAAGGAGATCAAAACCATGAGGAGAAGGGAGCACCAGGGACAGAGAACTTGCTCTGTACCTGACCCTGTCATCTCAGTGAATCCAGGTACTGGCCTCCCCCTGCCCATCTTGACTCACTCAGTGGCACTTCCTCAGGACACTCCCCTGACTTTCCAGGTCAGGCTGGTTTCTCATTATACATGTTCATACTAGAGTGTGTGGTTGCATTTTATTTGTGTAACTATTTCCTTTAAAGTAGGTTCTTTTTCTTAAAAAAAAAAAAAAAAACCAAAAACAAAGACAGGATTTCCCTGGTAGCCCAGTGGTTGGAAATCCACCTGCCGATACAAGGGACATTGGTTCGATCCCTGGTCTGGCAAGATTCCACACGCTGTGGGGGCCACTAAGACCATGCACCTTGAAGCCTGTGCTCTACAACAAGAGACGCCATCACAATGAGAAGCGTGTGCACCACAGCTAGAGAGTAGCCCCCGCTTGCTGCAACTAGAGAAGGCCCACAAGCAGCAGTAAAGACCAGTGTGGTCAAAAGAATTATTTTTATTTATTTATTTGCATACACCGGGTCTTCCTGGTGGCACACAGGATCTTTAGTTAAAGCATGTGAAATTTTCGTTGCAACATGTGGGATCTAGTTCTCTGGCCAGGGATTGAACCAGAACCCCTGGATAGGGAGCATAAAGTCCCAGCCATTGAACCACCAGGGAAGTCCTTGCGTAACTATTTAATTACTGTCAGCCAATTTCAGCAATGCAAGCCTCCAAGGGAGGACCATGTCTGATTTTAGTCACCAGTGCATCCTGGCGATTAGCAGGAGCCAACACTCAGGTGTTTAAGAAATATTTGTTGAATTATTTATTTGTCCATCATCCCTGGGAGAGTCGAAGAACTTTCCCAGAGTCTCAATAACCACAGTTCCCACAGAGGGGAGTGCCTCCTGGAGGAAAAAGCCTACTTCCTGTTGCTAGAGGTATGCAAACAGGGACCACCCTGAAGGGGCCGTGGCTGAGGAAGTTCACTTTGGGGCCTTGAAGGCAGCGTGGAGAGTGAAGCTGCTGCAGATGGAAGCTTTAGAATCAGGTGCATTTGGGTTTGCATCCTGACTCTGTCATTTGCCAGCTGTGTGACCTTGAGACATTTATTAACCACTCTGAGCCTTAATAGCCTCATCCGCTAAAATTGGATTCATAAGCCTCAGACAGTTCTTTCATCCATTCAGAAAATATGCCTTGAGTGTCTGCCCCTGGTCCTCCGCTAGGAACAGGGGACACAGTGGCAAACAGGACAGATGAGGTTGTTATGAGGATTACAAACTGTGGGGCACATTGGGTCTGTGCTTGGCATATAGCTGGTGCTCAACAAATCTCTATTGGTTTCATTTTCATTCCAGCCCTTGACAGCATTCAAGGACCAGTCTTGAAATCTTGGTTTTGACCTAGAGTCCTAGTAGGGCTAGATGGCTCAGCAAACAGACAATGCCCCTGGGACACCAAAATACAAAAGGAGAGACAGTTCACCTCTAAAGGGCTTATCATAAAGCTAGGCTTGAGGTCATTATGAAATTGCACATTTTATTTTAGCTATATATTGGGGGTACACTGTAATTGCTGTAGAAGTCAGGACCCCTAAAGGCTTTTGTTGGCCCCAGTCTTGGGACATATCACCCCCTACCCCACCCCTGACCCCTCGCCTCCTCTGGCGTTTCGGGATGATTCACAGGAAGGTTGGCCAGGAATCGGAATACTCACTGCGGCTACACAGCCACGGCCGTTCAGGAGTGGATGTGTAGTGGTAGCCGGCCCGGTCCACGCACTCGATGCTCTGGTCCCCGTAGATGATCTGGAAGACTTGACAGATGAGGGCACAGGACTCCTCGGCAGCATCCTTGTCCAGAGAGGAGGACAGAGCTCAGTCCTTCTGTGATCAGGATGTCCCTGCTTCCTGAAAACGCAGTGTGAGCAGGCACACGGGGCACACACACAACTATGGGTGACTTTAGATACACTCTGAGGTCATTTCCCATCAAAATTATATAGCCATGCTCTGGGTGGCTTTTAAAGAAATAGCCACTTACTGGTCTTTATAGAATCCCGTGACAACTGTAACTCTTGTGCTCTGAAAAGTAGACACATGTACCTCCAATTTATGGGAGAATTATGGGCCTTCCTGAAGCTTATGCTAAATTAAGTTAAATTTACACGTAGGAAGCTGAAGCCCAGAGACATAAAGTGATTAGCCAGGACTAGAACCCTGGTCTCCTAATACCTAGTAAGAGGAGGAAGAATTAAAGGTATGAAAATGTTAGGCTCAACATAGTTACTGTGCCATAGTTAGATGTGAGCTTCCTGGCACCCAGGGCAAAAATGGAAGCAGGATGAATATATAAGCTTCAGTCCCTGATAGAAGGAAGGCATTTAGGTTCTTGGATAAGATTTTCTTGAGATGGCAAATTTGAAGAGGAATTTGCCTCTTTGATTTACCTATTTAAGTAAGAGATACAGAAAGACAACTAATGAAGAGTCCATCTTCATGAAGTCATTTCTTATTTTTTGCTTCTAAAAATGTCAGCCCAGGGTGTAAATTAAAATGTAACCTCAGGACAGGCATTTTGGAATGAGGGAGTGAAACTGTCATTAAACCAGGATTGATCCTTATAATAACCCTATCTATAGTGGACAGAGAAGAGGGGATCCTTATTTTACGAGAGTGGATAAGTGACTCACCTAGGCTCACACAGCAGGCTCATGGCTTTGGTTAATATTGGCACACAGGTTTTTTGACTCTTAACTCCTGTACCCTTCTTGGGACCATGATGCCTCAGATTGGAGGCCAGAGGCTCAGATACTCCCGGAAAACAAGCCTTATTTGTTTACTCATTCTACAAATTATTACTTATTTCTACTGTGTGGCAGGCACCAGGATGGGTCCTGGGGTCTCAGAGGTGAATCAGTAAAGCCTAAAGCCTTCACAGCATAGTGGGATAAACAGGGCCCAATGGTACCTATGCCTAGAATTGACTTTCTTGGCTCTTTGCCCTGCTGCTTCCTTCTCTCTTCCACATTTCAATTTAAAAGGTACAAACTCACTTTCCCTCTGAAAAATGAATCTCCTTCCTCCTTATCATTACAAGTTGCCCGTTTTTTTCTTGGTCCCCATCACAACATATTGTAATGTATTACGAACTAATCCATCTACTCAATATATTTATTGAGCAGCTAGGAAATGGCAACTCACTCCAGTATTCTTGCCTAGAGAATCCCATGGACAGAGAAGCCTGGTGGGCTACAGTCCATGGGGTTGCAGAGAGTCAGACATGACTGAAGCAACTTAGCATCAACACACACATATGCCAGGCACTTTTCTGGGTGCCAAGGATAAATGAGAAAGTGTCTCAAGTCAGCTCCATAGCCTGAGTTTACTGGTTACTATCCACCTTTCTTTCTAAAGAGGCGCCATGTCTATTTTGTTCACCACATGGGATTTATATTTAGGGGGAGTTCAAGACCCTGGGTCAGAGAAAAAGCTTACAAGTCTCAGGGTTTGAAGGTGTCCGCTAGACACTGAGTTCCCTAAGGGAGGACACTAATTATGTCTTATTCATTCCTGTATCCATGGCACCTAGACCAATGCCTAGCAGAAGCTGGTACTCAATGAACATGGTCAAATAAATAAAAGCAAGGGTGAATGTGCTGGATAGAGGGTGGGGCAAGAATGGCGGGAAATCTTATGCTTTGGGTGATGACCATTGTTACCAAGAGTACAGGCTCTGAACTTTTGGGTCCCAGTGTTGAAATCACCGCCTGCTTCCTGCGTGACCTTGCACAAGTTGCTTAGCCTCTGTGTCTGTTTCCTTCTCTGTAGAATAGGAATGATGATAATATTTGCCTCTAGGGGTTAACGTGAGAACGAAATGATTAATGCTGGTTTCCTGTCTGGCACAGGTCGGGCACTCAATTCGTGCTGGTGATTACTGTCCTCATGATTGTTACTGCGGTAGTGCGGAGACTGACGACTTTGGGGAAAGAGGAGGGCTGGAGGAGAGATTAGATCAAGTCTGGGCCATTTTGAGCTTTCATCCCTCCGGGACAAGTAAGGGGGAGGTGTTCGGGAACTGGAGGGTAGAAGTCTTTTGCCGTTATGGGCACACAGTACCTGAAATCCTGGATAGTAGGGCCAAAGGAGGGAGATGAAAAGGGGCGGGGGGACACGCTCGGTGGTGCCCACCCGCCGCTTCTCGGGCGCCACGCCCGGCGGGCCCGGGTCGCGCCCCGCCCCGCCGGGGCTGGCGTCTACGCCGGCTGGCACCGGGTCCACGCCCAGACCTAGGAGAGGTCGGGTGGCCGTCAGAGCAGGAGATCTAGGCTAAGCGCCCCCTCTCCCGAGGCCAGCTGGGGGTCCTGACCCGCCGCTGCGGGATAGGGGTTTGGGAGTGAGTCCCCCCGCCCCCGTGCTCAGGCCGCACCCCTGGCTTCGAAGTCAGGGCGGGGGCCAGACCCCGCCTCATTCCAGGTCCCTGCCTTTGGACCCCGCCCCACCCTCAGGCTCCACCCCTGGACCTGGCCGTTCCCACCCATCCCACCCTATCCAGACGCCCCTCGCCTCGGACCCTGCCGTCTGGTCTGAGTAGTGGTCAGGCTATCGCCTCCCTCTTTACTGTTAACTCTGACCCTGTTCTTGGTTTCGGGAACCTTTCCTTGAGCCCAAGCTTCCCTTCAGCCCCGCCCCTCGCCTCAGGCCCCGCCCCTAGCTTGGCAGGGTCTCACACCTCCAACCTGGTATCTCAGCAGCGAGCTCCGCCCCCCAGTGTAGGGCTCCGCCCCTAAATGAGACTCCGCCTCTTGCCCCAGGTACCCTCCTAGCCTCAGAGCTTTAGTACCCATTAATCACGCCTTCAGGCCTCAGAATTCTGGCTTCTCCATCATTTCCGAGATGGTGGGTCAGGCTGTCCTCCTTCAAGCCTCAACACTGGGCTCCCTCTTCTTGCAAACAGCCGTGCCCTATCCCTAGTCTCGGGGTAGTTTGGTCAGGCCTTTCCATCACCCCATTCCCCAACCTCAGGCCCCGCTCCCGCCCCAGGCCACGCCCATTCCTAGGTGTCGGGCCAGTTCTCTACCCCTTCCCCTCCCCGCCCTGCCCCTCCAGGCCCCGCCCACCGTACCGGTCTTCAGCACCAGCAGGTGCAGAGCGTCGTCCTGCAGGTAGGAGGCGGCGGCAATCTCGTGCGTGGGGATACGCAAGATAAGCTCCTCGTTGTCGCGCCAGGTGAGCAGCAGGCAGCGGGCCGACAGGCTCAGGATGCTGTCCTGCTCCGCCGTCGTCTTCAGCGGCAGCTCCTTCAGCTGCTGCGGGGTGGGTCGGATCTCCTGAGTCCCGGTGGCCACGGGTGGGAAACGTAGGGGACCAGACCCTGTCCTCCCCTCTCCCAGAGCCTCACCCTGGCCGTGTCCAGCAGCTGCAGGAGCTCGTCCCGGCTGGAAGGGTTCAGTGAGGAGGTGACCCAGGTGAGGTGGCCCAGGAACTGTATAGAAATGGGACAGGGGTGGGGGTGGTGGGAGAAGGGCAGAGAGAGGTCACCTTGAAGCCGCGGAGGACCTTGACCTCACTGACACCGTGAGGGTAGACAGAGATAGAAATATCTGAATTAATAATAATGGCTTGGTAATAACTGTTATTAAAGCAATCCTAGGAGCCATAGTTCTGCGAGTTTTATGCACTCATTCATCCTTACTTTGAGGATGAGAAAACTAAGGCACAGTCAAAATAAATAACCTGCCCAGTATAATCTATAATAGAAAGGGTGGAACTGGACTCCACACACCAGAACCCAACTCTCACTGCTAGCTTATTTTTACTAAAATAAGCTTATTTTATGAGCATACAGTTATTTAACTATGGCAGAAGCAAAGGTCACTGTAATAGCTTGAAAGAACAGGCCACTTGTAATTTCCCACTTGGCCTGAGTGGCTCCTGTTCACCCCAAGCACCCGTGTCAACAGGTCACTGGCCTTCTTTATGATCTTGTTGCAGAAATTAAGTGGGAAGGGAAGAATATTGTATCAAGTTAGTATATAATTTTGACAGAAAAATAAGTAAATAAATCATTCATTCTTATAGCTTAATGTTATCACACTTAAATGTCATTAAGTGTAAGAATCAACTTTTTTCATTATTTTTAGTTTTATTCTTACAAGTGAATTCTACCAATCATACCATTTCTCTTATTCTCTATAAAGCTTCAGTCCTCAGTTTTTTAAGTGGAATTGCTAGCTTTTCCATTTATAGCGTTGCCAGATAAAATACAAGATGCCAATTAAATTTGGTTTTTATGTAAACAAATAATGTTTTAGTTTGTTTTTAAAGTAATTTTAGTCTCATATAACATTGGGGATATATTAATATGAAAAAATACTCACTGCCTACCTGAAACTCACATTTTCAATAAAAACTTTATTGAAGTATAATTGATTTACAATGCTTCAGGTATGCAGTCAAGTGATTCAGCTGTATACATATATAATATATATATTCTTTTTCATATTCTTTTCCATCATAGGTTATTACCATATATGGACTATATTTCCCTGTGTTATACAATATGTCCTTGTTGTTTATCTATTTTATATATAGTAGTGTGTGTATGTGTTAATCTCAAACTCCTAATTTATCCCTCCCCCTACCAAAATTTAAATTTAACTGGGTGCCTGTTTTTGCTAAATCTGACACTCCTACCCCCATATCGATCTTCACTGGATAATGAGGATTCTCTACTGCTCCTTCATGGTGTGCATGAAATAGAAGTAAAGCCCTTGAGTTGGCCCAAGTCCCTGTGACTTGCAGAACTGGCTTCCTTTAATCTGGACACCATCCAAGTAGCAGTAATGTCACTGCAGTAAAATCTCACAAGACGGGCTGGCTTTTCAGTGCACAGGGCACCTTCCCATCTGCTCTGCCCTTGGGGCAGACTTTGAGCCCCATGTTGAGATGGGCGTACTGAGGCTGAGCAGATGGAGGTCACTTGCTGAGGGTTCCCAGCATAATGCACGTGCAAGCCTGGGTTGACTCCAGCTCTCTTTCCCCTCAGCCTCCCCTGTGTAAGACAAGGCTGGTCATAAGCTGGGGGGCAGGAGAGGTAAAGTCTTTCCTGATGGGGTCCAAAACACGCCACCCTAAAATATGGCACCTCAGCACATTGACTATTTTAAGCTGAAGGAGTCAGAGGAAAGGACAGAAACAGGAAGGTCATTCAGAATTCCCCTACATCATCCTTCTTCCCTGAAAGCAGGAGATAAATATCCCTGGTGAAAGGTACCCTCTTTTCAGAGTACCAGCAGGAAGGGAGACCTCCTTATCACCAGAGACAGGGAACTGAGGGCCAAGAAGTCTGTATAAACAAACCTTGTTCCTCCTTTACCATCTACTACCCCTCCTCCGAACCCCTCTGCCTTGTCAGTTCTTCACAGATTTATTGTTTCTTTGTCAAAAATGTATAAAAGATTCCTGCTCTAGTCACTTCTCAGGGTCTTCCATTCTCTCCCTGAACGTTCTCATGTACATGTGAGAATTTAATAAAATGTGCATGCTTTTCTCCGGTTAATCTTTGTTCAGTTTAAATTTCAGACCCAGGGACCCTAAGAGGGTTGAGGGAAACCTTCCCCTAATCTGTTGTCCCCAGATCCTTCCCACCCCTCCCCTCTCATCCCACGCATACCTTGACCTCTTTCTCCAGATAGTCACAGAGCAGAATCTGAGGGTCGATGAGGTAGTCGGGGGGATAGAGGGGCATCGAGTGCAGGGGACGGCGGCTCACACTGCTCCGACAGGCTGCCCGGCGCGCAGCCTTGGGGAATACTAGCCTCCGGATGGGGGACACAAAGCCCTGGAGGAGGCGAGGGCATGGGGGTAAAAGCAATAATAATAGCCACTGACTTGGTCTTCTCCAGCACCAGCACTTATACGCAGCCTTTTACTTATATTATCTAATTGAATTCTGACAAAAACACTGCAGAGAGGGGCAGGTTACCTCTGTGATTTCCATTTTACAGATGGAGAAACTGAGCCTCAGAGAGAGCTAGTAAGGTTACCAGCTAGTGGCTGTAGAACCAATAGTTCACCCTGGGCAGTCTGGCTCCAAACCTTCATTCTAAATACCCAGATGAGGGAGTTTGGGGGAAAATGGATACATGTCTGTGTATGGCTGAGTCCCTTCCCTGTTCGCCTGAAACTATCACAACATTGTTAATTGGCTAACTCCAATATAAAATTAAAAGTTTAAAAAAATAAACACCCAGGTGACAGTAGGAACCTACCCAGGCTGGGTCAAGTACAGAAAAATATTTACATCCAATTTGGCTGAATGGTAGGTGCATAGGTATTTATTAAGCTATTTTCTGTGCTTTCCTCAATATTAGAAATGCTTGATTTCTAATTAATGATACTGTAGCATAATCCAGTGGGCACCTGCATAAAAATGGCCTGGATCTAGATTGAAGGAGCAAATTCTAGGGCCTCAACCCAGCCCAACAGAATTTAAACTCCCAGGAAAGTGTGAGCACTGATCTAGAACAGTGGTTCTCAGTGTGTGGTTCCTGGGTCTCCACCACCAGCAGTAGCAGCATCTCCTGGGAATTTAAGAGAAATGTACATTCTTGTGCTCCATCCCAGACCTATTGGATCAGAAACTGGGATGAGAACCCCACGATCTGTGTTTTAACAAGCACCCCAGGTGATTCTGATGCCCAATTCAAGTTTTACAATCTGTATCATGGAGCCTGGATTAAGTGCAAGGAAGCTCTGAGGAATGAGATCAAGCAATCTGGGAACAGACATTCCAAGAAGAGGGCACAGCTTGTGCAAAACCCTGGGGGCTGCAAGGGCTGGATGAGCACAAGCCTGGAGAAGATGTATTACAGCCATTTCGCTGTAGCCAAATGGTGAGATGAACAAGTCATAGAGGGCTTAAATGTTGGCTGTGGAGCCAGGACTTTACCCCATGTATGGGAGTATGTGTGTATGCCTGAGTGGACCAGGCAAGTAATTGTTTTGTCTGTGGCCCTGAATGGTCCAGCCTTGCCCACTTCTCTAACTTCACCTCACTGCCCCTCACTCCTGTCCTCTGGTTCTAGGGCCATCTTTCAGTTCTTCCTACATGCTATATTCCTTCCTCCCATGGAGGGGCTTTGCACAGACTGTTTCCCTGCCTGAAACACTCTTTCCTACCCCCTTTCCTTCCACCTATCAGCTCAGGCTGACCAGTCTAAGGTTTAACATTCTCCCAGCACTGCATATGGAGCCTTTTGTGCAATTTTACATTAATTGCTTTAAAAAAAAATTAATAGCTGTTTCCCCCACTAGGCTGCGAGCTCTAGGGAGGGAGCAGGGACCTTGTCTGACTTTGCTCACAGTGCATCATCACCAGCACCAGGCGTGGCGCCTGGCACATAATATGTACTGAATAAATATCTGTAGAAGGAAGGAACCAAGAAGCAACAAGCACCTATGTCTTGGCTCCCTTCGGAGCCCTCATAATTCACATAGGAGCCTTTGCAAACAGTTGGATCTTGGTTTCCTGGGGGAGGAGGGCTAGGTGGGGATGGGGGTGGGAGTTGGAAGCCCAGAGGCTTCCTGGACCTCAAAGACAAACAGGTGAGATGCCCAGAGAACCAGACTAGAAAATTTCTGAGTCAGGAAGAAGTAAAGATCTAGGGGGTTGGGGAGTGACCCTCAGGCTGAGGCCTTTGGAGCAGAACTGGTCCCTGTATAAAGATGGGGAGAGGCTTCAGCTAGAACCTGGCAGGAGGAGGAGGTATGTGTCCCAAGCCCAGATAGGCCGCCTCATAGCACAGACTTGCCCTGTTTAAGGTCCTTCTCTCTGGTGAGGCAAGGAGCAGGGGAATGGGTTTTCTGGGTGTCCGTTTTTCTGTCTGTCTTCAGTCTGAGAAACTTCCTGAGGAACACCAGGGAAGCAGGTTGGGAGTGTCTCCCAGACTAATCTGGCTGGCTGGATTTTCCTGGAAGGTACCTGTCCGTCTGTTTTTTCCTGGGATGGCAGAGGCCACTAAGAGCAGGGAGACTGGTTAGAGAGTTTGAGCCCAAATGTCTGGCTCCCCAACGGTGGAGAGGAAGGTCTTTCTTTCCAAATAAGAAGAAAGGTGCTCCTGACGCCACTCACTGCCCATCACCCCACCCCCAGGCTTCTCATTTCTCTAACTCTGGGGACACTTCTCTACCCCGAGCCCTTTCCAAACCCCCACCTACCTTTTTCCCTTTCTTGACTTCATATTCCATGGTGAAGCGTCCCCTCCGCTCCTGCCACCCTCCTGGCCACCCCTCCACCTTCTCCCCCCACGCAGTTCCTTTGTTCTTTTTCCTGCCTGGTCGGAAACTCCACCAGCCCCAGAGTTCCTGCCCCTCCCGTCTGATAGTGAGCGGCCGGGTGAGGGGTGGATGAAGGATGCAGCCTTGGGACCCTCCAGCTGGACAGTTGAAGCCCAGTCAGAGCAACAGACCAGGGAGAAAACCCCAAGATCTCCAGCCCGCAGGCTTGCTACGGAGGGGGCTTGGGAACTGACTAAGGCTGGGAAGAGTCCTCTGAATTTAGAGACAGAAAATCCCAGATCCCACCCTGACTTCTGCCACTGACCTTGCTGTGTGACCTTGGCAAGGCAGGTGAGTTCCCCTTTTCACAGCCTGTTTCCCCCTCCCTTTTATAAATTAGGGGTAAACATTGCCTTCCTCTCTAGACTGCTGAGGTGAGAAAAAAATGAAGAGTGGGTGGGCAAATGCTTCATAAACTATGGAATATTGTGTGAAAGCAAGTTATGATTTTAAGAATTAATCATTACCAATATTAAGGGAGGCAGTATGCATGGGCTACAGAGATAGGCCACTTGAGTTTGAATCCTGGTTTTGCCACTTACTAGGGTTATGACCTTGGGTCTGTAACCTCTTGTGCCTCCATTTCCCCATTTGTAAAATGGGCACAATACCAGCCTGACCCCCAGAGTGACCTTGTAAGAATTAAACTCACTTAGAAAAACTCCTGGAACACGTGAAGTACTCAATAAACATTAACTCTTCACCTATCTGTGTGTCTGTGTGTTCTGGGCTGTTTCACTGTCTCTTGAGAGAATAATAGTAGGGAAGCAGGGCTCACTTTGTGGTTCTGGACTGAGCCCTTTATGTATTTCATCTCACTTATTCTTCACAATATTGGTGTACCATTATTATATGTGTTGTGTTTGTGTGCGTATTAGTCGCTCAGTCGTGTCCAACTCTTTGTGACCCCATAGACTGTAGCCCGCTAGGTTTCTCTGTCCATATAATTTTCCAGGCAAGAATACTGGAGTGGGTCACCATTCCCTTCTCCAGGGGATCTTTTCAACCAGGGATCGAACCCAGGTCTCCAGCATTTCAGGTGGATTCTTTACCATCTGAGCCACCAGGGAAGCCCTATATGTGCTATCCAGATTTTTAAAACAGACTCAATTGCAGAGGTGAACCCAAGGAGGGCACACAGTAAAGGAGACAAAGGCCTGGAATTTCTGCCTGCTCTGTTCTGAAGCCTGGTTACTTACCTCTGAGGCCTATGCCCTCTGCGTGGCCCACCCAGAGAAATGGGAAAGGTTCTGAGTGATCCCTCCTTACCTTGCCCCAACCACTCGGTTCTGGAGACCTAAGCCCTGGAACTGATTTGCTACGTGATGCAAGCAGGCTGCTTATTGTAACCTCTCTGGGTCTCAGCTTCCTCATCTTTCCACTGGGAACAATAAGCCCCCAAACTCTGTCCTGTAGTCAGAGGTATGACAGGAGAGATATCAGGCCGTGGATGAGAAGACAGTTGGAAACTGTGAAGTGCAGGGGCCCATGCATAGGATTGTTTGGAAAGTTTTTTCTAACATTTTTCTAACAAGGGTATACCAGGTCAGTGCCCGTGGGAGCAAAGCTCATAGCTCCCTACTGCCTCTGGGTGTGCGAGCTGCAGGAGACTCTCAGACACCAGCCTTCCTGTCTCTTCCTCCCTCTTTCGGAGGTAGGGAAATGGCCCAGACTGCTTAGTGATAGCTCACACAGCCACCCTCCCTGCTCCCTGACATCCTGCCCGTCATGTCCCTACAGCAGGAAGTGAGAGCCTCTGCCTGTGGGCTAACAGGAAGAGGCCAGGATGTACTAGCCAATCCCTGATCGCCCTGGACATCACCCTCCCAGTTAACCCCTGAGCAGGTCCCGAATTCCCACCCTCAGATGGCAGCTGGGAATCAGATGTGGTCTCCTGCTCCGGCACCTCCATAATGGCTTTTGCAAGCCTTTTCTTCTCTCTGAGCCTCAGTTTCCCTCTGTGTAAAAGAGGGACGTCTCTTATTCCTGGATTAACTCCAAACATCCGTGAACTGCTGTGGAGCTCAAACATGACCAGTGTTCTGAATGACACTCAAAATAGCAAACCATCTCTGTGTTCTGGGCAGTCCCAGCCCAGGACCATGAACAGATCAGGTGTTTAGTACAAGTCAGCAGAAAGTGAAAGTGTTAGTTGCTCAGTTGTAACTAATTCTTTGTGACCCCATGGACTGTAGCCCACCAGGCTCCTCTGTCCATGGAATTCTCCAGGCAATAATACTGGAGTGGGTAGCCATTCCCTTCTCCAGGGGATCTTCCCAACCCAGGGATTGAACCCCCATCTCCTAGGTGGTCTCCTACATTGGCAGGTAGATTCTTTACCATCTGAGCCACCAGGGAAGCCCAGGAGACAGGCGAACCTAGGTTCAAATGTGTATGACCTTGAACCGATAGTTTCTCTCTTAGAGTCCAGAATCTCATGCATCAAAAGCAGGATGATGATGGTGCTTGCCTCAGGAGGTTGCTGCAGGGATTAAATGGGATCAGAAGTATACAATGGTAACATTTATTAATAAAGCTGCTTATGAATCAAAGAAGAGGTGAGTAAAACAAAATCTGTGCCCTGAAGACTTGACAGTCATGGCAAATAGAGTTCACCTCTTTTGAGGCACCTCCAATTGATTGGCAGGGGCTGCCCTGGAGTGCTGATTATAAAAACCAAATCTCCCAGTGGAAGGGAGATTGCCATGGGATGGTGAGTGGGTGGGTGGAGGATGTGGCGGCCAGTGCATATGCTGACCCTTGATATAGTGAGAAAGAAAGAGAGACAGGCAAAGAACTCTGACATGAGGCAAGCGACTTGTTTGGGAAAAGCAGAATCAGGAGCCACTCACCAAGCCTGTGGCAAAGAACCAGGGTTTGAAGGGAAGAAGGATTTGAAGGGCGTGTGTACAGGAAGGTCACTCCAGGCAGAAGGAATGGTGTGAACAAACACTCATTGCCTGAGATGTGATGCTTTGAGCTGCTAAGAATAGACTATCCGATCAAAGGTAGCTTATACATAAGGAACATTTATCATCTCCCAAGACAAAGCCCAAAGATAAGTGATTTCAGGGCTGGTTAATTGAGCAGCTCAAGAATGATATCAAGTGGGAGGGGAGTTTAGGGGAGAATGGGTATACATATATGTATGGCTGAGTCCCTTCACTGTTCACCGGAAACTATCACAACATTGTTTGTTAATCAGCTATACCCCAATACAAAATTTAAAAACAATTTTTTTTTAAAGAAAAGAAAACCAGGCTTAAGAGAGGAAAAAGTAAAATACCATTAACACCAAACCATTGAGAGAGAAACTCTACCAGGAAAATACACAGCCTCGGAGCTCACTTTGAAAAGGTAGCACACATTATTTCTAAATGGGTTTTTTAAATCCCTTCTCTGGTTTAGTGTTTGATTACTTTATATAATTAAAGGATTTCCTCATGCAGGAAAAAAAAAGAATGGCATCAAATTTCTTACATCTTCTGCTTTGTTGGTGTTACAGGCTGAATTCCATCCCTCCCAAATTTGTATGTGGAAGCCGTAACACCCAGTACCCCAAGGGTGGCTGTTTGGGGAGATAAGGCTTTTAAAGAGGTGATTAAGTTGAAATGAGGCCACAGTGTGGGTTCTAATCTAATCTGACTGGTGTCCTTATAAGAAGAGGAAATTTGAAGACACAGATACCAGTGGCGCATATACACAGAGGAAAGACCACGTGAGGACACAGTGAGAATGCTGCCATCTGCAAGCCAAGGAGAGAGCTTCAGAAGAAATCAATCTTGCTGACAACTTGATGTTGGATTTCTAGACTCCAGAACTGTGAAAAAATAAATTTCTGTTAAATTGCCCAGTATGTCGTGTTTTGTTATGGGAGTCCTAGCAAACTAGCACAGATGGAGAGAGGGTAGCAATACAGACATCATACTCTTCATCATTATTCTGGTTTTGATGCTATCAACGATTGAGGCCAAGGGTTTCCCTTTCTTGTATGTCTTTCTGTTGAGAAGGAAACCTTTCCCAGAGATTCTTCAAAAGACTTTCCTTAGAAGTCCAGGGGTCAGATGTATTAGCCAGGATATATTTCAGCAGTCATGAAGATCCCCAAACAGTGGCTGAAACATGATAGAAGTTGATCCCTTCCATCACATAAGCAGTCCAGGTCAGGTATGGCAGCTCCATGTGTCTAGGACCCAGGGGATTCCTGTCTCGCTGCTCCACCATGCTAGGATTTTGCTCTCAACTTCAAGCTGGCTCTCCACACAGCTGCAGTTCAGCCAGTAGGAAGGGTAAACTGAGCTAGAGGAGAACGCAGCTCCTCCCTCTAGGGGGATGACCTGGAAGTAGCACAAAGTTCTACTGCTCAAAACCCACAGGCTGGAACTTGTTTCCATGGCAACAACTAATTGCAAAGGAGGCTGGGAAATACAATCCTCTACTCTACAGTGGCCGTGTGCTCAGCTAAAAAGCCCTTTATAGAGAAAAGGGGTGCATGGATACTGGGGACATACAGCAGTCTCTGCCTCACTGAATTGGTCACATGCCCCTGCCCCCACCAATCCTCAATCAGGGGAATTATCTTGGACCAATGGTTCTCAAACTTGGGTGTGCATCAGAATCACCCAGAAGGCTTATAAAAAAATGCTGCTCCTCGTCCCCACACTGGCTGATTCAGCAGGTCTGGGGTGGGCTCTGAGAATCAGCATTGCTAACAAATTTCCTGATGATGCCGGTCTGGGGACCACACTTTGAGATTTCTGTCTTAGGCCAATTCACTTGTGACTTGCCGCCTGAGGCCAGGGAGAGGCTCTACGCCCTGAGCACTTGGGCTGGGGGCTCCTAGGAAATGGGGCTGTACCTGAGACAATGGTGAGAAAAGCCATCGGGTGGCACCCAAGAGAGGCTCATAAGCAGGAAGGTGGACATTTGGAGAAGCTTTAA